GTTAACAGGCCTCTCTAAATAAATATATATACATCTATCTGTCTACCTTCCTTCTTTCTCCAGCAATAGCAAGGATCCTATTTCGTTTGGAGGGTGGCGGAGCGACGTGGCCCGGAAAAGTTTGCAGAGCGACCGTGGGAACCCGGTCCGTCGGTTGTCCGAGACGTGACCGTGGGGCTCGTATTTGTATCGGGAGGGACTTTACAAAGCAAGGTCTGAGGGAAGGAAAAGGCGAAACGTGACCTCGGGAGCAAGGTTGGAAAATTTCTGGCGGGTGGAAGAATTCTTCCGCCCACCATGGCCGGAATTGAGAAACGCATCGTGGATTGACAGGCCCTGGCTTGCAATCCGTAGGAACAGATGCCGAATTCAGCGAAGGCCCCCAGCAAGGAACTTAAAAATACTTTTTGGGCCTAAAGAGGATTTAAAACAACAGCAATGCATAATTGGTCTGTGTGTGTGTGTAGGTTTGGAGAAGCCGTACATAAAAATAAACTGGCCGGGGAAGGAATCGGGCGGCCACACGCACCGTTTGCACCCAATTCCTCGCAGGCCGCCCACAGCGGGGAGTAGGCGAAAAAATCAGGTAGGTTAGTTCGCACAAACCGGAGAAAAACTCCCCCCAATGAGAGGGAAGGAAGGTTTCAGCTTCACGCTTTTTGTGACTTCCCCCCCCAAGGGCGCAACTTCGGGCCTTTCAAGTCAGCAGAAAGGAAGAAAAAAGTGCCAAACCTCTCTGCTTACCCAGATAATTACTGGATGACTTTGTCCTGAAACCGGGCAGCAGAAGAAAGACGAACATTTGCCCAGTATGTGATTGCTTCCCCCCCTTAAAGAAAACCCCCCACCAACCGGAAATCTAATTTAATGGGCATCTGGAGGAGAATCAAGATTGAAAGAGAGAGGGGGGGAAAAATTGAGAAAGAGGGGAGGGAGGAGAGAAAAAAAGAGGCAAAGGAAAAGATCAAGTTTCTAGCCCTCAGGGTAAAAACCGCTCAGATGGCTCTTTTTCCCCATCCATCCGTAAAAAAAAGGGGGGTAGGGAGGTGTTTCAACCTGCATCAGATTTAATAGCAGCAAATAAAGGTGGGATGTGAAATATGGAAAGGAGGGGGAGTGGCTTCTCCTTTTCCACCAATCAGATGTCTCTTGGGGCCAGGTTGGGCCAGGCCAAGCCCTGCCCCTCCTGATAAATCTGGGCTGCCCCCCTCCTCCGGTCCACCACTTCCCCTTCTCCAGACATCCAACAAACGCCCAATTTGGGGTAAGTATTTCCTCCCTTCGCTGCCTCGCTCTGTATTTTCCTACTTTCTTCTTCCAAGATTCGGGAAGAATGGGGGGGGGGGG